GAATATTTTAATAAGATCTAAAAAGTAACTTGAATATATGTATTTATGATTTATTGAGAATTTTATAAGATAAATGCTACTTTGTATGTTATTAACATAATTATGTAACTTTATAATCATATTTCATTTTCAATAAATTAGTCGAATTATTGCCATACGACGTTCTTAACGGTTTAAGCGAAATAGAAAGTTGTAATCTTTTGATTGAAGAATATATAAGCATATAGGATGAACTAGCACGACGTGAAAGGTGTTAATAAACATAAGCTTCCTGTAAGGCATGACATAAAAGCCAACTTCATGTCCTTTTTCTATTTATGGTCACATTATCACGAATATCTCAAAAATTACATGTATATATTCTTTCATGAAAGCATATCTGTAAATATAAATTTATTGAAAATGTATTTTTTTTCAGAAAAACTTAGAATTGTTTTAAAAACGTTATTAGTTGCTTGTAAAATATATCTGCTCTCCCTCCCCCCCCTCTCCTTCTGCAAAATATATTTTCAACGTTATTTTAAATATAATTAACGTTTTTGTTAAAATAATTCGAGAATGTTTTCTTAAATATTTTCTTCCAACGATAAGTTAAAAAATAAAGGTTTTAATCGATTTTAATATTCTCGAAAAGTTATGTACAGTTTTATTCTGTAGTATTTATACTAATATACCGATTAATCATGAACATAATCATTTTTTGAAAATGCTACTTTTTGCACGCATACGAAGTCCATTAGGATGCCTAGAGTTATGAATCTACAGACTAAAGGAAACGATCGTAAATGTATACTATCGCACAATATATGTATAGATATAGAACATACATAAAGCAAACACCACGATGTGAGCTACTACTAGCGTGAAACTCGAAAAAGCTCGCCCGAGATAGACGAGCTTGCGTGGCTTTGAGCCCGATGGCCGCACTCTTGCACTCGCAGTAGCCATGCAAGTGCGCGCGCGTGCACACACATACACATACACGAAAGCCAGAGTGTCACGTCGACCGACCTCTCGCAAGAGGAGACCGTCGTAGGTTAGTGCATTGGCTGCACTTTCCATCTCAGTGTGTGCATGTATGTACTTACAGTCACGGCGCGGTGGCGGACGGTTCTCTTGCGTGCGCGCGCGCGAGCGCCCGCGGCGGCCGTATGCATGCATTGGTTACGCAAGAATAGCGGCGTGTGTGAGACTGCTGACCCACATACGGCAGGGAGCAAGGACCCCTCGCCTGTACGAGTCGTATACTCGACCGAGCGAGTCTGTATGTGTGTGTGTGTGCGTCGCGAGGTGCGCGCGCGCGAATGTGCACATGCGTACGTCACATCGCAGCAGCGTGGAGATGCGCTTTTGCTCTAACGTGTGCGCGTGCCATCTAGTATCGCATGCATGTACCGACGCACACACTCACCCGCACGACTGATTAAGCACCATTCACACCACTTACGCGACTGACCGTTCCTTGATGACGGAGATGTGAAATTCATCCCAGATAGCAGAAGTAGTCATTTTGATGTAATTTGACATCAAAGTAACGTCAAAATGACTATTTTTGCTACCTGGGATATTTGTCTCTTTTATTGATTTTGCTGCCTATCGATCCTACTTTCATTCATTTCTAAAATAGAGATCACTTTATTGTGTATAGCATTATATTTTAATATTTTTCAATTTCGCAACTTTATTAGTTTTTTTATTTCTAGATAAGTACTTGTGCAATACAAGAAAAAAAGATGTATTTAATCAAAATCGATTGATAGCGCAGAAATGCGTACAGTAAAAGCGTATAAATATAAATAACACATTTAAACTTGAATGTTCTAAATATTTGTGGGAATAAAATAATTGAGAGTTAAAAAAAAAATAAAAGAATGTGTTAATTTGCCACATTCAGATTTTTTGTCATAAAACTACGTATTTTTTTACACCCGCATTCAGAATCTAATTAGCCTTTCTTTTTTTGTTTTAATAACAGGGAGCTTATTGAAGAAATGTTTAAATTTTTTATAACTTCTAATTACTTTTTTAATTATCTCATAATTTTTAATTTATACCATCTTTTATAAATATAATTATATCCGAACTAATTATAATGATACTTCAAACCACAAAAATTATATTTTTTTAATGACACTTGCAAAATTATCTCTGTCAAATTATTGCATAAATTGCTACATATGAAAAAAGCAAAAGAACTTTCATAAGCACAAAAGGATAATCTATGAATAACAGTAGCAACAAGCTAGCAGGTGATGCTGGACGATATTAATTAAACATGGAACTTGCTTGTAAGTATAGCTACTTCTTGCAGCTAGACTATCACTAGCTGAAGGCGCGTAGGAGTAACTACAAGAAGTTCTACGGCACGCTAGAATAAACAACTTTCGAAATGGAGATAGACAATGTTGCAGAATATTAATGTCGCTCCGATTAGTTGAACGAAGTTGCGCGCTGAAAACAAACAGAAGACCTCGCGCCGAGTATATCTGCTGTGATGAACTTCCCTTCCTTGCATCTTTATCGTAACAAATATAACTGTTCCGCAATATAAATATTCTGATAATGTTATAACATTTATTATCAGACTATAAGAATTATAAAAAATACAATTAAGAAATTTGTTTTATCTATACACATACGATATCAAGTATATTAAAATGTCATGAATGTAAAAAGTTAAAAAATTTCTGCATATATGAAGTCCGAACACGAAATATATAAATTCTGATTATATGCCTCATAATAATAAAAATTTACGTGAACTTTCACTTATAAAATTCCTCGGTTAATACCATTTATGTCGACTCTTAATTAACAGATGTTTATCTTTAAACGTAAATTACTTGTACTTCGATGAGTTTGTTAGTAGATATATCGCGTTCAACTTTCGTCCAACTAAATTCGGAAAATGTCTGAATCTAAAACTTGGAATATTGAATCGAAGACAACTTGCGCTAAGTAATGCGTAAATATTATATCTCACGATTGTAAAACTATTTTTATTGGAAAATAGCACGGCGTTACATGAACGGCGATGCACGAACATCGATTAAATGCCTCAGCATAAAATGTTAATATAAAAACGTGTTATGAAAAGAAATCATATAAAAAACATGATAAAAATTAAAAACGTACATATAATGTATATTGTAAATTTCATTTTATTATAAAAATTAACTAACTTTTTAAAAAATGACGTAAATGTAATTTATTAATAACTTTAAAGGTTAACATTTTTTAAAAGAGTAAATTGCTACTTTCGTGGATCAAAAGCTTTATTATGAATTAAAAATATAAATCTAATATTTTACAGTCTGCTAAACTTTTATTTAAAACATTAAAATTTTTCATTTAAAACCAGTTCTAAAAAAGATCGTTTTCCCTCAAAAAATTATTCCTTAATTAAAAACTATTCCTTTCTTTGACATATGAGACGCCGTTTTTTAGAAAAATTAAAGCATCTAACCATGAAAATGTGTATCATGTCTGTTTTAACAGCACTCATACTTGTTGCATTCAAACTAAATAAGTGTATATGCAGACATTAATAGAGAACAAGAAAAAAGAGAATGGATAAAAATAAAAAAAAAAATAAAAAAAAAATGAAAGGCATGGAGAAAAAATAAATGCTACGTCATAGAAGATGCAAATATTGTTGCAACAGTGCGAGCGCCAGCAAGACATGCATATTTCTCAGAACGTAGACACGGACGAAGCGGCGCATAAAAATTCACACGATTGATGCGCATCATCGCCCTTATTAAAACGACCCGCGGCGGTTAGGTCGGGCACTGTCGTAAAACCGCTTAGACGTCCGATCTTTCTGACCGTATTACGACCGACTGAAGCGACAGCGCAATTGTTCGCCGTCCGTCCCTGCGATAAGACGCGCGATTTGTTATTATCGTCGGCTTCGCATTATTAAAATGACCCCCGTTGCACCCGCTATCGTCTCTCATAGACCTAGTCTCGTCTAGCGCTAGACCGAGGAGAGTGGATGAATGCGCTCGTAAAACTCGTAAGCTAATCCTTGGAGCTTTGCTGTGTCGGCGAGCGGAGTCGACACGCATACACGCGCACATCGGGATCCGTCTTTAATTATTCCAGTACTGTACAATGTATGATGCGACACGCTACGGTACGATACATTGTATCTCGAGAACCTTATAAAACAAAAGCGTCTCGCGGTAAACGATACATGCATCGCCGCGCAAATGGCGATCCAATTGTACGTTATTGCCGACTAAAGCGGGGTTAATGGCGAACTATGCGTTCGCCGTAATCGCCCGCGTGCGTCACACGCGTACTTTCACGTCGCGAACCGATCTCCTCGCAATAACCGCTAACTATTCGCTTATATACGCGCGAGATGGATCTCGACCTAGAGAAGCGCATCAATAGAAACACGAAAGGTACAACAGAAATTTTCGCGAAATGCAAATTTTGTATACTCGTATATTTATCAGAGCGAAGAATCAACAAGTTCAACTGATGAAATTGAAGTGGATTAATATTCTTGTCATCATTACATTACATGAGAATCGCATATTTATGAGATATAAGATACAAGCTGAAATATAGAAAAGCTGCATTTTCTAAATTGATAGTTTATCTGTGATGGAGAATTGAATTATATTTAAGATCTGTAAACAATATCAGAAACGAATAAATTTTTAATTTAATTTTTTGATACATGTGTATTCAATTATATACGAAAGATAAAATTAGATTTATCTCCTAAATGCACATGCGATCAATGGAGGTTAAATTGGAGATTGAGAATCTAATATTGATAAAAATAAACGTAAAGACAATTTTCACACGCGGCGTTTGAAATATAACTTTTATCGAAATATAAATTTATTAAGATTTAATGCTGATTTTAATATGTTTCCAAAGACAGGATTACTCATAAATAAGTAATGCAACTCGTTAGTGGTTACGTAATAATTTTCACTTAGCAAACGCTGATATTAATCCTTGCCATTTTCTGGTTTCAGGAATTATGACCCTTCCGAGCAGCCCGTGTGAGATAGACAACATGAGCTTGTTTCAAGATCTCAAGTTGAAAAGGAGAAAGGTCGACTCCCGATGTAGTAGCGACGGTAAGAATATCTCGGCGATATATCGCAATAACGGATCACATAAAAGAATCGAATGCATATAGAATTAACATATAGTGTGTTTATCACGGAAAGTATCGGATATAAAAAGTTTTTCCCCATAAGATGCCTCGTTTTTTAAACTATTTGCCCCATATATTTGCAACGTATGTCGCAACATCTTATTACATATTAATATATTATTAATATTTTATTTAAAGTTGCTTTACCGTGTATTCGCGACCTTTTGAAACTAAGTGTCTCGATAGCAACTGCTCAAAAAAAGAAACATACAAATACGCAAAGACGTAGAAGATAAAGACGTAGAAATCGAGATTGTTTAGAGACGAGATATAATGCCTACAATCTAGATTTGATTCTAATGGTTGACGTAATAGTGCCAGAAAGGATCGTATATCACTGTCAAGCAAATTATGATGCACTGGTCGATCTTTTCATATTGAGATTACTCGGAACAAGTTGTAAAACTGACCTATGTTCAAGCGTAACGATTATTTACCACCCGGTAATGGAGGAACAACGTTTAATTTACGCGTAATAATGATGATTTTTATAACTTACAGCAAATGAGAAATCGTTCTAATTATAGACGCAATTAATCTTCTCCATTTTACGAAGCATTTAAAAAGTATAATTTCACTATTATTGATAAATGTGTATATAAAAAGACCGTTATTTTTTAGTGATATCTTTTTATGTATAATAAGCGATTATTCTATTTTTTTTACACATTTCTACGTGTATTTTTACTTTTTGTCTAAATCAGATTTATCTCTAAATTATTATATGTATAATTATATTTAAATAGTTAATTTTATTTTCGACAAATAATGTGACTGATATATTTTTTCTAAAAATCAATTCTAAGTTCGCGATTCACATAATCGATCGATTGAACGATTCATCGTATCTTTTGCAAAATAATTTCTCAACAGTTTGTATTTTACTTATTAGCTAAGATTTACACTATATTTATTCTTATATCCAATCTTTTATATTCCTCATTATTGTATGTCCTGCACATTTATATTACGCGATTACGTCATATCCGCGAATGGATATGACGTATTGGCATAACACTATATGGAGTCGAAAACTAACTTGCGCATGTGGAATTAATATTACATTCATACATAGACCATATATATATCTCATATCATATCAGAATAAAATATTTTGAAAATAGCTCGGTGCAAAGCACAGTATCGTAAAAATAATTTTAATAATAAGAACATCATAAATAATCACTTTATAATTTGAGTTATTTAAAATTACCGTTAGATTAAAAAATTCTTTTATTTTTAATGAATTCTTGAATATGATTCTATGTTTTTTTTTTTTAAAGATTTCTTAATCTCCGTTTATAGCAAAAAAAAATTTATAGATTACCACACGTATACCTCTTGTCTAGCACTTGTATATAAATGAAATCATATTTACATCGCGTTGCCTTCTATCAACATATATAATTTTCCTCGAACGGCAGTGCATCTGAAATGGCTCAATGTCCAACCCTTCGTTCGCACATTCATCTCGGCCATTCACCATTCATTTCATTCAGTCTCTCGATTTCCCGTGCTGCGCGCGCGCTTATCTCGCGTGTTACTCGTTCGTTCTTTCTTTCTTTCTCTCCCTCTCTCTCTCTTTCTTTCTTTCAGTAATTTTTTATTTCCACTCCTTTGTACATTATCTCGCGTGTTACTCGTTCGTTCTTTCTTTCTTTCTCTCCCTCTCTCTCTCTCTCTTTCTTTCTTTCAGTATTTTTTTATTTCCACTCCTTTGTACGATTACAACAACGCGTTACGGCGTTACGGCGTGATGCAGCAGGCGGTATTACACGCTCGTCTTCTTATTGTGTCTTCATGGTAGCTTTCGCGAATGATCGACGGGAAATGGAAACGGGAGGGTTGTCGACGGGAGGGCAGAGGTTGAAACGTGGGTGGCGCGGCGACGGATTCGCTAGCTAGCTCAGGGAAGTTAAGTACGAAGCGAGACAGAGAGATAGGAGAGGGAGACCAGAAGAGAGAAGGGGGCTCGGGATGGTTGCTGCCGGCGGTGCAGGGTTGAATATCAACCCACGCGGTCGTCCCGGACGTGCACCGGTGTTAGTTCAGTTTCGCCTGAACTCGCGTAACCACGCGGTCGTGTGTCGCGCGCGCTTGGTGCCCGCGAAAAACGCGCGAAAAACGGACGCTTCCGTTCGGGAACGATACGCGGGTGAACAAACAGAAAGGCCGAAACTAAGAGGAAGAGGACGAAAGTGACAGAACGGAACGAGCGAGTTGACGACCACGCGGTGAATCGCGTCGGACATCGCCGACGTTGACGTCGTATCCGTGGTAAAAATCGCGCGCACGTCACGTTACGACGTGTTGCCGCGGCCACTGCACACGGGCTGCATCGATTTTTCGACGCGCTCGCACAAACACGACCGATACCAATGACCCTCGACCTACGGCCGGTTTAAAGGTCAGAGACTGCCGTTGGCCGCGAATCGAGAGAGTCTGCGTTGACGATCTATAGTGTTATCGAACCTGGCGAGAACGCACGTAGAGAGAAAAAGACTGGACCACTTTTTCAACGAGGATTTTCGATGATACGTAAATCGAGAGAAATGTGCATCGCGCCGACAGCACGCGTTCCGGCTTTTCGAGAAGAACGTACGCTCCGGCACGCTCTGATGCTATGACCCGCGGTCTCGCGGAATCATTGATCTTTCTTGGCCGCCGCCGCCGCCGCCACACGTGTACGTCACATACAGTTCAACGAATGTACGACGCAATTATCCAGGCGATGCGGACGCCATCGCAAGCGGCGCTCGTGGATATCGAAAGATGATCAATTTATTGAGAAAGCGAATTTCTCTACCGTTGTTCGCGCGATTGATATACTCAATCGATATCCTTGAAGATTCATCGATGTGACAGATTGGAATTATCTATTTTTTCACGCGATTACGATTGTATGGCTCTATATCAAACCGTTCACGATAGAAATATATTTGCTGTGATGGAATAGCAAAGGAACTAACGCGAGAATATAATTTAATTCTCGCAATGGATGAAACAGATTGATATTATTTAACAACGAGATAATATATATAATCTGTAAAAAAACTTGGCGATTCGTAAAAAGATGATATTTATGTATACTAGAAAGACGAGATTTGGGAAGAGAGATGGCCGATCAAAGCAACGTTATATCACTTAATCCGTAACGTATGATTTTTGGTATCGTGAACGAAAAGTAGTGACATTCTCGTTTTTTTAGTCAGACGGCCTATCCACGATTTAAGAACAAAACATTCATACTTTATACGGAAAAAAACTGGCGTTTTACTAAAATTATAAAAGATATACGTCGTGATAATAACATTGTAATTTAAATTTGCAAGATCAGCCAATCGAGATTTTTGTCTCGATAAATTTTACGTCGATTTACTGAATGTACAATTTCGATTAGACATTTCAAGAGTGACATATTTTTCCAAAAATTGATATTAAATTCTAAATAAACAAGAAAGAAAGATAGAAGAGAGAGAAAGAGAAACATATCATCTAAATATCAGATTCTATTTTCGTGCCAGCTTTGATTGACAATTAAAAAATGATAGAAGAAAATCATTTTACACGAATTTAAAATGATCTACCTAACATATCTTTATTTGTGTACAAAGAAATGAAACGACAAATGCAACGATTTCTACGATATCGAAGACAATCTGTAAAAATAATAAAATAATACAGTCAAGGAGAAAAGCGGAAAGGAGACAATATAATGTTAAAAAGTTCTTGCTATAATATTTCTTATAAACATCGAATTTAATTATATTAGTCACAGTAAAGATCTACAAAATTATTTAAAAGAATGTTTCCTTTGGGAAGTAACATTTCCATCGTCACTAATCTTGATTGGAACCGACAAGATTGGAATTCACCAAGTATGGATCCAACAGCTTTCTACAGGATGCAGAGAAGCAGCTTTCTGCCCTACTTATCTGCGTATCATCCCTACAATAACTTCTCGATAGAATCTTATCAGAGTTATTTTCGCTTCCAGCACTATATCAGATCGCAATTCAGGGCCGATCCTTATTCTACCTTTAATTATTACAAGTGTTTGGATACGAAGAATTTGTACGCGTCGCTCTTCGGTAAACATTGCATTTACTACTATTATATTTATTTGTAAGCAATATCATGTTATGTTAATAATTTATAGAGTATCTCTTTATATTTTCTCCTTATTTGTTTCATCTACAAAAAGTAGATGATAAAAATCCTAATCCTTGATAAATTCAATTTTTTCTTAACAAAGATATCGCGCGAGAAATCCTATAATATATTTGCTTAATGTAATTTGCTAAAACTTTTTAATTCTTAAAACTTTTATGTTATATATTTCTATAGTTGAGTTTTTCAACAAAAATTCTATTAAAATCTGTTTCAAATTTATTCGCTTGAATTTTTTAATAAATATAGTCTGATTTTCTTTTTATCTTTAAGGAATATATATTAAAAAATATATATTAAAAAATAAACATAAAACATTTTTAGAAATAAATTTAAAATAAACAATTTCTATTAAAGAGTTAATTAATTAGAGGATATTCTGTTCTTTATATGCATCACGGACAATTCTTTATTGCTTATAATTCAGAGTCTATTGGTATCTCAATTTTCATCGAAGAAGATTGATTTCAAGTTAGTTAAGCAACCCAAGAATCTAAAAAAAAAAAAATTAAATGAAAGGAACAGTGAAAGTAATGGCACGTCTTGCGTGTAACTCTATAATATATAATTGCATTATTACATTACTAGGAACAAGTTCTCGAACATTTAGAAAAATTTGGCTATCGATACAAAGGATCAATAACCTCATCATTGCTGTAGATAAACTTTGTTATTTTTAGCCCATCATTGTATATTAGTCTCACTAGTACGTCACTCATGCATCATCTGAAAGCATTGATATTTACAGCCGATCATCAGTACGATAAATGAATGCCATATGGCATATCCGATTAATATAATTGCTTTACGAAATATAAATGCGAAATATAATTGCTCTACGAAAGTGATGGATGTTAAACTTTTTTAATGACTTACAAAGATAGATATTCGATTCTTCGATTTGGTAACTATGCGAGATAATTCGCGATATCGGAACATTACGAGTCCGCGAGTGAATAATCCGCTTGACCAATGTGCACTAGGATTGACTATTAATAGCTCGGAAACTGCTACCTAAGTATTCGCAATCACAGCTCGGCCTTGTCAACTGCATTCTTTCCTTGACCTACACGCGAGTGGCCATAAGTTCCCATATCCTTTTCGCGACAAGCAAAAAACAATCCAAATAGTTATATTTTGTACGTTCTATAAAGTATAATTTTTTTCTCGATTTAAAGAGACAAAAATATATTCTACTTTAATATATAGAAATATTTTACATTTCCTTTTCAGTTTAAAGATTTTGTTACAGAAATAGATCAACCTAAAATTTAGATTTGTGAATGAAGCGAATTATGATTTGTGAATTATACTTTTGTTTATTATGTTTTAAATTCTTTTTCATACATATTTGCGAAAAAACTCGTGATATGTAAGTTATATAATAATATACGAGGTACATAATCATAAAATTAATGCTCTCATATATTATAAAATTTTATATTCTTATCTTGTAGTCACACGTGGAATATTTTTTATTGGGTTAATTTCACACTGCGTGCTCTCGATACAAGATTACTCCACATTGCACGTGCCATCTCGGTTTACCTTCTCACACCGCACGGGGTACGATGCAATGTTAAGAACGCGTCGAAAGCATACGGGCGCTTTAATGGTTTTTGCTCGACCCTCTCTTCTAACGCAATTACAACCTACCGACGTAATTTCCCCATTATGAAAGACAATGCTTTTCACAATGAAGCTTGTTGTAGGTAAAATCTCTCGAAGGATGTGGCAAATATGGAAATCTAATTTTTTGAAATTATCTTCTACACACACTAATGTGCACAGTTTTTGACTATCATTTAAAAATATATATATATATATATATAATTTTTGATACTTTTTATATTTATTAGAAAGTACAAAAACTTTTCTTTCATAATATGAGACATCTGAAAACTGCCTAATATTTTCGGCAGATTAATACTATTAAGATAAAAATAATAATATAAAATACATATAAATTGATAAAGAATAAAATAAATACTTATTATTTCTCATCAT